CCCTTTCGCAACGTTAGCAAATTTAATAATGTCTTTATTTTTCACGATTGTCGATATCGTCGTTCTCGGAATACGGAATGCAACAGTTAAATCTCGTTAAATCTCGAACACGCGTGCCACCTTCATATTTCTCAACAATCTCTTTTTTTCAGTTTCGTTGTGATTCTAGTCATTTTTTTATTTTTCTGTTGCCCTTTTGCAATTCATAATTAATAAAAATAATAAAATGTTACTTACAAATTAAATTCAGAAGAAATTTAAGAAAGTTATAAACCGTAGCACCGCAAACGTCTACTCTAGTGTAGTACACCGATAGTGCTACTTGTTCATAGATGGCGCGTATAATTGAATTAAGTCGTATACCGAACAAAAGTCGTATACCGAGCAAAATTTGTTTCGTCCAAACAGGACATATTCCGAATTGGACGTATTCTAAAGCAGACGTATACCGAGGTTCCACTGTATTTATATTGTTATATTGACCAAATAATAATTTATCGGCCAAATGAATAATAATAATTTATATTGTTAATTTAAATAATAATTAAAATTGTTAATTTAATTTGAATGTTTGAAATATGACACACGATAGGGGTGCCTCTAGTGTCGGTTGTCAAACGGTTACGGGACGGACGGACGGAAGGAAGGAAGGACGGACACCTGTTGAACGGTTATATATATAGATTATAATTCATTATTACATGACAAAAAATAGAAATAATGAAATCAAAATATATACAGGAAATCCTCGTTAGTTTAAAATTCAAGGGATGAAATAATCACAACTTTGAATTATCGAGTTTCAAATTATCTGAGATTTACATATTTCTGGACAATACACCAAATGCCATGTACTGATACAATTTATTTTGCAAATGAAATACGGTTATGTATACAGAGGGCTATTTTTGTTAATTAATAATATCAATAAACTGCAAATAAATAGCATGTGTCTGGTGAGAATGTCACAGGTTGCCAGATAGGTTTTTATAAAAAGTAAAGCAGAATTCTTTGAAGTGAAAACCAGATTATTTTAAACTGGCCCAAAAAACAGTAAGTTGCCCAAAAGTAGTAGTTTAGAGCCCTGCAAATATCTCAATCTGCTATTCTTAGATCAATTTTGTAATCTTGAAGCCCAGCTGTATGAGATAAGAGAAAAAAGGTTAGTCCTAGGGTAAGGTGACACCTGAAAATGTATAAGGCCGCGACTCCACTAGTGTAAAAAAAAGTGTAAAAACCCTCGCCATAAAAACTTTTAATCACATGATCATGATAATTTACACCGAAACAGGTTGTAAAACCAGTGTAATGTGAGTTGAGCAGTGTTCAACTTTTGATGCAAATATGTCTGTAAAATGGTATCATCCACCCAATCAGAAGTCAGTGGAATCTAGGTCATTGTGACATGGTGCAAAAATGACTGAAAACAAACTTTTGTGTGTTCTCTCATGTCTAGTTAGAAAAGACCTAGAATAGATCTGAAAAGATTTATTGAAAACATCTGAAAGTATTCATGTATCTATGACAAGAGGTATCCCAATTATAATAATAAATGCCTAAAACACATGATATGGACAGTTAAAGGAAAATCCTTCAATTTAGAGGAGTATATAATAAAAAAAGCTAAGCTTATTTAGTGCTGTATATTATCTTAATAATACAATAATAAAAGTTAATATATGACCTCCACTGCAATCCAAGTGCAAATGCAAATAGGTCAAGTGATTAAAAGTTTTTACAGTAAGGATTTTTGTGCTCATTTTTACGCTAGTGGAGTCTTGGCCTTACTGTAAATGCAAAGAGGTGTTGACCAGATTAGAGTTGATGTATAGTATGGAGGTACTTCAATCTAAATGAATGAGTTAATAACATACACATATTACAATTCGGACAGGATTTTTATTTTGAATTTTGAAGTAGCCATATTTTGAACTAACCAAATTCTTTAATGTGTAAATCTCTATATTTCTGGCCAGGACAAATAGCACAGTTACAAACTAATGGGTTTTCAAACTATTGTAGTTCAAATTAACGAGGATTTCCTGTAACTTTTAAATTATCATCAGTTTGTTAGAATTTGGAAGCAATAATTTATTCAAATTAAGTATTATATTTTTCTTATTTTCGGAACTAATTAATAACAAATTGTGCTCTATAATGATAACTTTTGACAAGATTAATTTTTTTATGTAATAAAATATAAATATACTTACATAAAAAAATATATTAACCTTGTTAAAAGATATTATTGTATAGCAGAATAATTGCAGGAAACAAAGAATGGCTGTTTAATATTAAAAAGAAATAATTTCATTTTCAGTAATTGTTACCTGTTTCATTGTAGATGTAACATCATTGTCCTAATATGAAAAAGTGAATATTTGTTAATTATTATGAATTTAAATCCAGAGACAATTGTTAAGAAAGAGTATAGTTTTTGCAAACAATTTCTTGCAGGTAGGCGTGACTATAGTTGAGTAGTACAAGAGAATGGTCAATGTTGTCAAAACATTTTTGTATATTCCTGGTGTTTAGCATATTTATGGTTTTTCTTACCATTTTTGAAATTTTTGAGTTCTTTTAGAGTATTTAAGTTGAGAAACACAGTATTAATGACTCAGGACAAGTATGAAAAGAAAAGAATGTGTGAAGAGCTTACTTCTCTTTCTTTGCATCAGTATTATATGAATACTTATTAGAATAAAAATGAAAATATAATAACAAGAGCATTATCTATACCAGCGCTGTCCAACTTATCATAGTCCGCGGGCCATATTTTCTTTATCAAACATTTCGGGGGCCAAGAAGGTTGATAAACCACACGACATTTGCATAGTGCTACGGTTCAGTAAGCACTAATTGGTCAGCGAGTCCGATGTTGACGCTATAAAAAGGCGACAGTTCGACACACCGGATATACGTCACTCTCGTCTAAGTTCGACTTGGGAATTTTTTTGTTCAATAATAAATGTGAATTCTTCTTCCTGGAAAAAATAAGACATTCCCTGAAAATAAGACCTAGCGCATTTTTCAGAGCAAAAATTAATAT